TAACAGAGATGAGGAAGACTGTGGGACAAACTGGTTTAGGGGTGAGGGTGGGAGGGGGAGATAAAGTGTAGTATGGACATATTTATTTTGAGATGCCAATTAGACATTCAAGTGGTGATGCCAAGTAGGCAGTTAGAAGCACAAATCTGGATTTTATAAAGAAGTCCCAGCTGGAGATACACATTTTGCAGTCATCAGCATATGTACGGTCTTTAATACCATGAGATGCAGGAGGCAGCTGATCGATGTTTCTCTCAACTCTCTATCCCTCTCCCTTCCTCTCTGTAGAAAAATCAATAAAATATATATTTAAAAATAGGAAAGAATAACAGTGAAGTAGCTGCCAGTGAAGTGAGCCCATGAAAACCAAATGAAAAAGCAATTCAAGAAGGAAGTAATTAGCTTTGTTAAATGCTGATGGTAATTTTTTGCAGATAACTCTTCCCTTTGTGTGGAATTGATGCATTCTGTCTTTCAGCTTGCTTATTTTTGCTTCATTTTTATATCTCAGATCAAATGTCTCTTCCTCAGGGAAGCCTTTTCTGAATCACAGACTAGTTTATACATTGTCATAGGCCCTAATTTTCTTTTTGGGGGGATTCTCAACACAATTGTACTTAGTTACTTGTTTAGTATCTGACGTCTGTGTTAGACTTTAACATCCATGAGCAATGTCAGCTTTGCTTGCTGCTGTATCCCCAGCATTTCTCAGTGCCCAACATCAGTAAATCTTTGTTGAATGAAAGGGTGAATGAATGCATGACCGTGTCCATTGTACTGTGACTAACATTTTAGAATGACTTCGACAACTCCACCCTAATAATCTTGGCCCAATTCATACTTTGGATCTTGAGCAATATCATTCCTCTGCAAGAGGCTGAGTTCTTGCCCTTCACTTTTGCCCAGTAGAGTGCAGAGGGTCACATTGTTCTCACCATCCTTACTGTGTGGCTGGTATTGTACTTGTGCAGTCTCCAATGTCTGCAAGAATCTTGGAAGTTTTAATAAATGTCTGTTTAAAACAACAGGCATTTATTGTCTCAAAAGTTCTGAAAGCTAGAAGTCCAAAAGCAAGGTGTCAGCAGGGCCACACTGTCCCTGAAACCTGCAGGGGAATCTTTCCTTACATCTTCCTCGCTTCTGGTGATTTGATGCAATCTTTGGCATTCCCTGGCTTGCAGATGCATCACTCCAATCCGCCATCTTCACTTAACATTTTCCATTTGTCTCTTCACTTGGACTTCTTTTTATAAGGACACCAGTCATTCCCTTAAAATATTGTTTAAGATTTCTGGTTTCAGGTTCTTTAAAATGCAGTGAGGACTTAAAAACATTCGCAAAGCAATCCAGGTGCACACTCTATCTAGATTGATATTTCTCCTCAATCTTTTGCAATTGCCTTATCCACTCTTCATTGACTGTTTTTCTAAACATCTAGCCCTTAGCAAATCTTTTTAACACATTAGACTTAGTTGAAATAGAAATAATAATTCTCTTTTACGCTCACATTTCGGTTTATATGTTTGTATATTTTGAAATTACTATAGTGAATACAACTAAAATAAAAGGTTGACAAGAAAAATAGGAAATCAAAACATTTATTTATGGATACATTGTTACATAGTAAAAATGTAAAAAAAACAAATGATTACCAAAAAAATTAGGGATCAGAATCAGAAGGACAAGCATTGTAAATAGAAGGGAACATAAAGTGGTTTCTGAGGTACTGGCAATGTTGAGTTACACAGGTACAATGAGTTGTACTCTAATATTTTGTGTGCTTTTCTATTAAGTGATATTTTGCAGCAATGTAGTTATAAGAAAAGGAGCCATGCTGGAAAAATACTTGAAGCAAGTATGACAAAGAAAGAGTTAATATCTTTATGTCAAAAGTTCATGCTTAAGAGGAGAAACCAAGATGGCGGCATAGGTAAACACCGGAGTTTGCTGCCTCGAACAACCACTTCAAAAATACAACTAAAAGACGGAACGGACATCACCCAGAACCACAGGAAGGCTGGCTGAGGAGAGACTCTTCAACTAGAAGGAAAAACAACAGCATTACGAGGCTTAGAGGAGGCGCAGTGTGGAAAATTTAAAGGTACGGTGGTGCGGCGGTGCGCGCGCAAAGCGGGCTGGTGGCTGAGGGCGCGGTTGTCGTTTTCAATCAGGAGTGAGTCTCAGACTCTGGGCTACAGATCCGGGCGAGTCTCTAGGGACCCTGACTCAAACGGGAGAAGCGGGACTGTCTGGCTACGGTCCCTCCGAGGTTTGCAGCGGTTACGGGGACAGAGAGGCAGAGCCCCTGGAGACGGACTGAGAGCAGCCATAGCTGCTCCCTCCCCCCACCCTGTTGAGCCCGCCCCGCCCAGGCCCTGCGCAGAGCCATTTGCCGATCGCCTCAGGCAAAGGCTGGACTAGCGCCTCCCCAGAGGACTGAAGTTTTCCACACAGCTGATTCCTATAGCCAGTCGGCCTGGTGGTCAAATCCCTCTAGTGTTAACTACAACAATTAAGGCTTGGCTAGAACAAGACTGCGCACAAAGACCACAAGGGGGTGCACCAAGAAAGCATAAAAGATGCGGAGACAAAAAAACATGACAGAAATGGAGGATATGGAGCTAAGAATCGCAATTTTGAGGGCTTGCAAAAAACTTGTGGAGAGCCTCACGAAAACTAATGAGACCCTCGATGCTACGATAAAGAAATTAGAAAGTAAGCATACACGGACTGAAATAAAGAATATTATACCCAATAGCAGACCAGAGGAGCACAAGAATCAAACCAAAGATTTGACAAAAAACACCCAACTGGAAAAGCAAAATGAAAAAAGAATCCGAAAGTGTGAAGATAGTGTAAGGAGCCTCTGGGACAGTTTCAAGCGGAATAATACCAGAATTATTGGGGTGCCAGAAGATGAGAGACAGCAAGATTTTGAAAACCTATTTCAAGAAATAATGGCAGAAAACTTCCCCCACCTGGTGAAAGAAATGGACTTACAGGTCCAAGAAGCGCAGAGAACCCCAAACAAAAGGAATCCAAAGAGGACCACACCAAGACACATCATAATTAAAATGCCAAGAGCAAAAGACAAAGAGAGAATCTTAAAAGCAGCAAGAGAAAGAGACTCAATTACCTACAAGGGAATACCCATACGACTGTCAGCTGATTTCTCAACAGAAACTTTGCAGGCCAGAAGGGAATGGCAAGAAATATTCAAAGTGCTGAATACCAAGAACCTACAACCAAGATTACTTTATCCAGCAAAGCTATCATTCAGAATTGAAGGTCAGATAAAGAGCTTCACAGACAAGGAAAAGCTAAAGGAGTTCATCACCACTAAACCAGTATTATACGAAATGCTGAAAGGTATCCTTTAAGAAGAGGAAGAAGAAAAAGGTAAAGATACAAATTGTGAACAAACAAGCATCTATCAACAAGTGAATCTAAGAATCAAGTGAATAAATAATCTGATGTACAGAATGAACTGGTGATTATAATGAATCAGGGACATAGAAAGGGAATGGACTGACTATTCTTGGGGGGAAAGGGGAATGTGAGATTCGGGAAGAGACTGGACAAAAATTGTGCACCTATGGATGAGGACAGTGGGTGGGGAGTGAGGGCGGAGGGTGGGGCGGGAACTGGAAGGAGGGGAGTTAATGGGGGGGGGGGAGAGGAACAAATGTAATCTGAACAATAAAAATTTAATAAAAAAAAAAAAAAAGAAGCTCTTTATATACCAAAAAAAAAAAAAAAAAAGTTCATGCTTAAATAAGTGGGAAATAAGCAAAGTGCAAAAGTTTATATAATATGCTGCCTTTTGTGTAAGAGGGGAAATAAGAATATACCTATATATTGTTGTAAAATAAATACAGTACAGGTAAACTAGAGAATAATTAAATTGCTTACTTTTGAGGGGATGGGTAGGGAATGAGGTGGAAAAGACAGAAGAAATGAGTGGGCCAGAGGATGAAGGGGCATAATACTTAGAATCTTTTTTGACAGTTCTGACATTTATAACCAAGTTAACATCTCACATGCCTCAAACAATACAACAAAACAGAAATTAATATGAAGGGGAAAAACTAAAATGAAATTCAGAACAGAATAAAATCAACCAAACAACCTAAAAAATGAGTAATGTAACCACTGAAAAGAAAGTGAGCCAAAGTAATTTTTTAATATAGTTTTTATTTTATTTCTAAATATATTTTATTGATTTCAGACAGGAAGGGAGAGGGAGAGAGAGAACCATCAATGACGAGAGAAAATCACTGATATTGATAGGCTGCCTCCTGCATGCCCCCCACTGATGATCTAGCAACCTGGGCATGTGCCCTTGACTGGAATCGAACCCAGGACCCTTCAGTCCACAGGCCAACGCTCTATTCACTGAGCCAAACCAGCTAGGGCTAATATAGTTTTTATTGACTTCAGAGAGAGGAAGGGAGAGGGAGAGAGAGATAGAAACATCAATGAGAGAGAATCAATTGGCTGCCTCCTGAAAGCCCCCTACTAGGGATCGAGCCTGAAATCTGGCTATGTGCCTTGACCAGGAATCAAATCCACGACCTTTCTGTGTACAGGATGACTCTCCAACCAACTGAGCCAAACCAGCCAGGGCTCAGCTTTACTTCTTTTGCTGCAATTTACCTTTAAGGTAAAAATTACTTCTAAGTAATTAGCATTGTAAAATATTTTAAAATCTATTTCAGAGAGCGAAAGAGAGAGGGAGAGGTATAGAAACATCAATGATGAGAGGATAATTGATCGGCTGCCTCCTGCACACCCCCTACTGGGGCTTAAGCCCACAACCCAATATATGCCCTGACCGGAATTGAACTGTGCCTCCGGGTTCATGGGTCGACGCTCAATCACTGAGCCACACCAACTGGGCTGAACAAAAGTAATTTTAAAACACAATATCTAAACTATATAGCTTCAAGCTAAACTTATAAAAAGAAATAAGCAAACTCTGAACTCTAATTAGGAGGCCTCTTTTTGGCAGAGGTACAGGTTAGCAATTCTAAAACTACTTTGTTATTATAGGATTAAGCAAGTAAAAATACTGTGGATAACAGGAACCAGCATTCTCACCTATGTGAGAGAGTTATACATATAGAAGAGGACAGAGTGAACCCTGTGGTGATGGGCTGGAATTGGTGGTATTAGTGTGAATTGATGGCTTTTAATAAACATAGATGTATGTGTGGAGACGTATGTGTATTCACTCATATGTAAATATATAGTATTTCGTTCTTAACTGTGTCAGGTGAAAGGGCCTAGAAGCAATAACACAATAGCAAAGGAACACACCTAGCCCAAAAATCTTGATTTCCAAATGCATTCTCCACCAAAAGGAACTAGGGACCTTAGAAACGGCTGATTCCAGGCCAAGGTTGGGAGGAACGTGGAATATCCAACTGTGCCAAAATGTAAAGAAAATGCTCAATGAATGAGAGGGTCATATCAAAAGGACACGGGAATCTGCGTGAAGAGGCTCTCATGGCCCAATCTGGGACAATTTGAGCATCAATATAAATAATAATAGTAAAGAAATACAACTTATCAAATAAAATAAGAATCTAGAAGTTCAAAATGATATAAATAAGTATGAAGGGGAGAAAGGAAAACTCCCATCTTTATAGCAAAAAGCCAACTAATAGTCATAGAGGAATTCCGGAATTAGAAATTCACCATTTGGCAACCATCATATTCAGGCAAGAATTATCAATGGATGCTAACTTGTAGGAAAAAAATTTGAGGAATACCATGCTATTTACAAAACCTCTATTTCCCCCCCAAGATAGCTCTAAATTACAAAAGAAAAAAATAGTAACTTTACAGTAGAATAACCTGACAGACAGTAACTTTAACCAAGTAAAGCTGACATCATCAGAAATGAGGCAATTTAATAGCATGTGTCTCCAACAAGCATCTTTTCCATGTTATTCCTGATAAAAGCACAAGAGGTGAATTTAATCATGAAAATATATCAAAGAAAAGCAAACTGAGAGACATTCAACAAAATAACTGGCCTAAACTCTAAATATCAAGTCATGAAAAACAAAGAACTATTCCAGATTAAAACAGACTAAAGAGACAGTACAACTAAATCCAATGCGTAATTCAGGATATTCTTTTGCTGTAAATGACATTCTTGACACCTCTGGTAAGATATGAATGAGATCTACAGATTAGGTAATGGTATCATATCAGTTTAATTTTGATAACTGTACTATAGCTATGTAAGAGAATATCCTTGATTTTAGGAAATATACACAAAAGTACTTAAGGAAAATGGGCATCATGCCTGCAATTGACTCTTAATCCAAAAGTAAAAGGTGTGTATAGATGTGTATTATATATACACATACACATAGAGAGGAAAATAGCAACTGTCATCGAGAGTCTGAGATGGGGGAGAGGACAGGAAAAGATTGAGGAATAAAACAAATATGGAAAAACGTTAACATATGAGGAGTTTTGGCAAAAGGCATATATATGTAGGAATCCTTTGTACTATTTTTACACTTTTCTGTAAGCCTGAAATTATGTCAAAATACAAAGCTAAAAGAAAAATCTTACACAATACAGAAAATCAGACATTTCATAAAAGCAAAAGTCAAACATGAGCAATTATTCAACCACTTAAAATAATAAAAAAACATTTTTGTAGTAAATTCTGGAGGGGTTGGTATTTTCATATTTTGCTGAGTGACAACTGGTTCAAACCTTTTGAGAAAAAATAACTTAGCAATATGGACTAGGAGTAAAGAGTCTGGTGATTCTACCACTGGGACTCTATCCTAAGGAAATAAATACTAAATATCAGAAAGTCATTATAGACAAATGTAATCACAACAGCTTCATTTAAAATAATGCCAATTGGGAAAAACCTAAGTAGAACACAAGAAGAGTTTAAGAAAATGTATAATCACTCAGAGGAATTATTCAATCATTAAAATAAATAATCTATAAAAACTAAGTAAACATGGAGAAGTGCTTACAACAGACATAATAATGTGATAAAGTAAAATTATATGAACAGAATAATTACAAGTTTTGGTTTCTAAAATATGCATTAAAAAAAAAAGACAAAGAAAACTCGCAAAACTGTTAAAGGATTTGTAGGGTGATGGTATAGGCAAGTGAGTTTTTTCCCATTTCTTTACCATTCAAATTGTTAAGTAACTGAATTATTTTAATACTGAGAAATATGCAACTAAAAAAGAAACTAAACTTGTATTTACTACTTTAATCCTTTGTGTTTACAAAGTGCATATGGAAATATTTCAGACAGAGAAATAAGGGGGAAAAGTCATGATAAAGTAATTTAGACAAATACTTTAATTTGGTTTCAAACATATGTAAGCAATACACATCTGAGTGAGGAGGCTGCTCAAGTCCGTAGGGGAAAGGTTACAAAAGATACATACAAAATCCATCTCAAAAGCATGAGGGTCCTTATATCCTTTCCTAAAGAGCATAAAGAGCAAGCACATTCTATACAAATGAGAGTTGTGACAAAGAATTTCAAAGTTCAAGAGCCTGTCACAGTATGAGGTATAATAATGGACAAGAAGTCTTACAAGCTTCTCTTGTCCAATACTCACTGAAGTCTCATTCGTTTTTCAGGGGGACCTTTAGTGCTCACTGTCTGTTGGATGTTCTTTGTGGTCTCCTTCTCATCAGACTTCACAGTTTCTGGTGTAGGTTCTGCCTCTTTCTTTGTCTGATCCACTACCCATCAAAAGGAGTTATTTTTTGGAGGGGGAGAAGGATAAAGGGATGAGATCAATTTAGACAACAGTTAATATGAACGGTTCAAACTCCAATTCATTTTAGAACTGCTTATCTCAAGTTCTAAATTTAGCTGTTTCATCAGGCAGATGTATAAGAATCCATTTACAAGTCTAAAAACCTGATAACCCAAGCAAATTTGTGATACTAGACAAAAACACATGGCATTTAAATAAGATAGTATACATGATTATTCCATCCCAGTTCAATGGATAGGTCAATATCTCTTTTCAATGATGAACACTGAAATTTGAACAATTTGAACCCCAAACCTCAAATCACCTCATCTTTTCCACACCTCCTCAATTCCTATTCTTCCCACTCTGATTCACCTTTTAAATCCTAACATCACTACCACAAAAGCATCATCTTGCCTGGCCAGCCTGGCTCAGTGGCTGAGTGTCCACCTATAAACCAGAAGGTCACGGCTCCATTCCCAGACAGGGCACATGCCCGAGTTTCAGGCTCAATCCCCAGTGTGGGGTGTGCAAGAGGCAGCCCATCAATGATTCTCTCTCATCATTGATGTTTCTATCTCTCCCTCTCCCTTCCTCTCTGAAATCAATAAACATATATATTAAAAAAAAAAAAAAAAGCCCCGTCTCTTGGCAGTTCAGCAAATCCCGAGGTTAGGAGTAACAAGCTACAATGAGAGAATCTAGAAAAGGGGTGGGGAACGTACAGCCTCTGGCTATGTAAGTCCCAAGAAATCATTTGGTTATTAGGCATTAGGGGTGAGTTAATTAAATGTTTGACCAAATATAGCAGGCTAATTTTTAAGCTGATAATTTTGTATGGTCCTCAGATGATGTTATAAATATCCAAATGACCCTTGACAGAAAAAAAGGTTCCTCACCCCTGATCTAGAAGGACCAAATGACAGTAGCTCATCTCATATGCTAAGTTGTTACTGAGTTAAACAGGCTGTTTGGTCTTATTTCAAGTTTAACAAGAACATCAGATGAACCATACCTGGGACAGGCTTTTCTCCAGACTTTTGCTATAATTAAAAACAGAGAAAACAAAAGAGAGAGTGGGGAGAAGTAGAAGAAAACAGGGCAAGTTAGCAAAGTTTTTTTTTTTTACTTCAAAATTCTTATTAAATTACACCTTCATTCACATTACATTATAGATGACTACATGAAGAGGAACCACTGTATGTATCATAAAAAGTAAATTTATCATTTTCTACTTCTTTTTCGCCTGTTTCAAAAAAGACAAATCTAAAACTAGAACAAAAGAGTCAAATATAAATAACCCTGAATACCTACAAAACCCTCTGTCTCTGCATCCAGGCTACATGATTTACAAATATCAGCTAAGCAGACTCCAATAGAAGGGAAAATGGAGCCTTTCAAGACTTTGGAGACTTATTTGCTTAGGGGATATGAGCTATGAAAAAAGCAGAATGAAGTGTGGATGAACCATCTGACTTTTAAAGATGGCGGGTATGGGAAGTACAGAGGGAAAAGAGGTATTTTTCTATGAACATAAGGTTTCTGATGAGGACACTATTAAAGGGCAAACTGCAGCCCGAGCTGATTTGGCTCAGTGGATAGAGTGTTGGCCTGTGGACTGAAGGGTCCCAGGTTTGATTCTGGTCAAGGGCATATGCCCGGATTGCAGACTCAGTCCCCAATGGGGGGCGTGCAGGAGGTAGCCAATCAATGATTCTCTCACATCCTTGATGTTTCTAGCTCTCTTTCCCTCTCCCTCCTCTCTGAAATCAATAAAAATATATTTTAAAAAAATAAAAAAACTTCCAAGTTAAAAATAAAAAGCAAACTGCAGGAAAAAAAATGTTGGGGGCACTAGAAGTCAGGAACAAAGTCAGATCCTTCATTCTGTACATCCAAGCAGTTCTTTTACTTGGTTGAGTCCTGTTGAGTCCCTTTTCCTATTACTCAAGTTAAATACTTTAAAACACTTTCCTCTTCTTCCTTTCTCCACAAGGCTCACAACGTACCCCACATCCTCAGCCAATTACTCTACCTCTTATGTTAAACAAAAAAAAGGGGCCCTGACCAGGTGGCTCAGTTTATTGGGAGTATCAAAAGGTTGCAGGTTCGATTTCCAGTCAGGGCACATATAGGAGGCAACCGATCAATCTTCTCTCTCACATCAATGTTGCTCTCTCTCTTCCTAGAAATCAATGAAAGCATATTCTCGGGTGAGGATTAAAAAAAAAAAAAAAGTCAATGCCCCAAGGTCCCTTCCATCTATCAACCTTCAAACTTATTACACCTTTAATACACACACATACAGGGTGGGGCAAAAATAGGTTTACAGTGGTGAGCACCCAAAACAGAGAGTTTATTCTTGGATTATTATTCATTTATTATTGAACAACTGTAAACCTAATTTTGCCCCACCCTATATATAAAATACCTTCATACACTTCCCTGTCATCTCAGAAGAAAAGTGTTCTCTTCATTTCAAAGTAACTGCCTCCATTTGCCTCCATTTGTTTTCTGAATTTCTTTCTGAATTTACATGCCCTCCCTAAGCTTTCTAATTTTCCTTTGACTAAAGACTACACTTTCTGATATCACATGTGCCAGGTTCATGCTGCCAACTGCCTATCAGCCCACGCCAACTGCAAGTACTGGGAACTTAATAAGACCAAAACTGAGCTCCGTATGATTATCCACTGTGCAGAAAGGTTAACACAGAAGGCCTAAGGCTGCTATCCTTCGAAAGGCCAGCTTGTGAGGCTGGACCTTGGCTAGGGACTAGGAACTTGGATTTCTGGAGGATTCTCACCATTCCCTAATAATGGTGGCTACCGCACCTAGATTGTTTGTACATACAATGTTCTTTATGCTGAATTCCTGCTTTCCTGCAGGGAATGTAGTATTTTGGTACATGTTAGATAGAGCACATACATGACAACCCTCCCACTCACTTCCCGCCACCTAAAAACCACAGGCACCAAGTCTCTCATGGACCTCTGTGTACAGAAATATCACATACATGTTGCTGTATTTCCACTGTTGAGAGGAGTACACTCTGTGTGATCCCTCATGGGAAGGAGAGAGTATAAGGAGGCCTACACATGGATTCCTCCAGACTCCACTTACGTTTTTAACCTTATAAAATATAATAAGGATATAATATCCTTATTATATCATTGTAATAAATCCTGTTGAGTCCTTTAAACAAATCACCAAACATGGGGGAGGTCACAGAAACCCCCAACACAGCTACATCATCACATATCTTATGAACATATTAGGACTTAAACATGTCAACAAATCTTTTCCAATTTAAAATAGTAAAGGAAAGCCCTAACCGATTTGGCTCAGTGGATAGAGCATCGGCCTGTGGACTCAAGGGTCCCGGGTTCGATTCCGGTCAAGGGCATGTACCTTGGTTGCGGGCACATCTCCAGTGGGGAGTGTGCAGGAGGCAGCTGATCAATGTTTCTCTCTCATCGATGTTTCTAACTCTCTATCCCTCTCCCTTCCTCTATGTAAAAAATCAATAAAATATATTTTAATAAAATAGTAAAGGAAATATATGGCATACACTGAAGGGAGTGAGAAACTGAGAAGGGATATTCTTATACAACTAGCATCGAACCATATGAACTATATTGGACACTATATTGAACTATATTACCTGGATATTGGAATAATGTCATTCTCTATCCAACCCACATTGTCTAATCTTTTCTAGTGAAAACTGTCAAACTAGTAGGATGTGGCTTGAGATGAGAAAATAGAATGGGGGCGCCTTTCTGATAAAATTTAATCGTGACCTTGGGATAAACCTAGCTGAAGTAATATCCTATGGTGTTCTAGCAGCTTCTGAAAACAGCACTGAAAAGACATTCATCATAGAAAGCTCTGAGGGCCTCAACTGCCATCATATCATTATCCATGTAACCTTCAGTGGTAACAAGAATTAAAATATGGAAAAATAAGTTTTAGGACTTCTTCAATATTTTCTTGAGCATCCCCCTAATGGGCAACATTCCTAGGATCTAGAAGTTTAACTGTGCAATACAATGGATTAGTAGGACTAAGTCCTTAGCTACCAATGGTTCTGGGAGATGCAATGGGTAAACAGGAGTTCATAGGAGACTTCACGTAGACCAAGGATCTATTTTCTTCTCCAGATGTGAGGAGAAAGGTTTTAGGTAGGAGGAGCAAAGGGATTATTAACAGTTCTAGAGAGAGCCATCTTTTTCCTACTTCTATTACATAAAAAAAGTCAGACATGCTTTCTTTTGGGGAGTTGGTTTTTGGCCCTTGGAAGGTTAAAAGAAAGGAGGGGTTCTGGAAAATGACAACTTTATGTGTGACTACGGCTAAACCTTTCAAAGAAAAATGTAAAAAACTCACTGAAATGATATACAGTCATTAACTGGCTTCAAAATAATTGGGAGTAAGTAGGGGAAGAAGAGATAAAACTAAAATGGGTGGGTATATGTCTGATAATTGTTGAAGCAGGATAATGGGTATATGGGCATTTCATATGTCACAACTCAATTTGGACTAGCTGTGTGTCAAATGCTCATTAGTCACATGTACCTAGTGGCTTCTGTACTGTGCAAGTCTAGGTGTTCTTTCCCCAACCCCGCCCCCCATTATATACTATGCAGTACTCACTGAATAAATGGTCAACTACACCTAACCGCTTATACTCTGCAGTGGTTACACATCACCCTACAGCTATAATTCATTTATTCATCAGACATTGTTTCATCTTCAAGTGTAATCGTGACATTTCTCTAAACTGGCTTTCCTGTCCTGAGCTCTATCTGTGTCCTCTGTTCCCTTCACCACCACATCACCATTTCAATAGCACACATCTCTCACAGAGTGAAGTCAGGAAAGGGGGAACGGGAAGCTATTCTAAAGTCATCTCATGGTGTCAAAGATCTCATTTAACCTAAAATGACCCTTTAAAAATCTCTTAATTAGGCCCCCCACAAGAAAAGCAGTATATATGGCCTTGTGTATACACAGCGCTGGAAAGAGTCCATTAAGAACTGAGACTAACCAGGAGAATAACATGTTCACATATTCCATCTCATGCTGACTTCACTTCAAAAGCTCATTTAGTAGAATGGCAGATAGATTTTCTATTATTGTTGGAACTAATGGAATTCATATATCTTAAACACCAATATGATGTAACTCTACTATTACTCCCGCCTCCTCCATTTATCATGGCAAAGCTTTTGCCTCAAATGTTCTGTGGGGGTTTTTTGGTGGGTTGTTTTTTGTTACTAAAGTTTTAACCATTCTGTCATTTAAGTTTTAACCATTTTGTCACAGCAGGCTGGAAGTGAGCACTTAAGAGTAAAACAGCATGAGTTTCAGATTCTAGTTTTGTTATTATCTATGACATTTTCGGCAACCTTTTGAATGAAAATATTGTCTATATGTAGTCCTTATAGTTTGTTAAAATTCAATGAGAAATTAAACTTAAGAGCACAGAACAGTGTTATTTCCATTCCCTTTACCCACTTTCTCCATTAAGTCTTTGAAAAATTCTCCTTTGATTCAGAGATCATTTTTTAACTAATGAGGAAATCAATACTTTTAGGTCACATCTGAAACAGTTCTCAATTAAAAACAAATATACCAGGCTCTGACCGGGAAGCACAGTTGATTAGAGCGTCATCCCGACATGCCAAGGTTTGGAGTTCGATACCCGATCAGGGCACATACAGGAAGCAGCCAATGAATGCATAAATAAAAGGAACAGCAAATTGATGTTTCTCCACCCCCCCTCCCACTTCCTCTCTCTCTCTAAAAATCAATAAAAATAACTTAAAAATAAAAATAAACATGCCAGGAAACAGTATCAAATTTACCACACATGTTCTCATTACCTGCACAAATTTGGGTGGAAATTTTTGTCTGAGGTCTAGGAGTAAAGCATCCACACGTTGCCTCTGGAAAATAGAGCTTGGTTCTTCTTTCCTTTTGGTTTTAGGTTTAACTTTTTCTGTTAAAATATGAAGTCCAAATCAAAATACTGCCCAGTTTGGTGTTTTATATTTTACAAATTTTTATCCACCATGAATATACTCAAACTTCATTATTTTTCATGGCTGCTAGTTAAAACATAATCTCCCAAATAAGTTAAACTGAGCATATACACAGAAGTATTCTAACTCTCCCTCTTAAATGAAGTTATTAACATTCTAGCATTTAACACTTGGAGTGGGGGAAACGAGTTAAGTCGGCTCGCGTGAATTGCGCGTACTCCGCGGGAGCCGTCTTTAACTCGGTTCATATAGATTTGCGGTGGAGTGCGGGAAACGTGTAAACTCGGGCCGATTGTAACTGCGTATTACCAAATATTTGTTTGTAATCCACCCTTTTGGTGGATGGAACAAAACCAAAAGACAGAGCCATCTTATATTTTGGCGGGAAATTCACCCCACACCGGAGTGTTAAAAAGCTGATGTCACCCTGGCTGGTGTGGCTCAGCTGGATGGAGCATTGACCAGTGCACTGGTTCGATTCCCAGTCAGGGAACATGCCCAGGTTGCGGGCTCAATCCCTGACATGGGCGTGCAGGAGACAGCTGATCAATGGATTGATATTTCCCTCTCACATGATGTTTCTCTCTCTCTCTCCCTTCCTCTCTCTCTAAAAATCAATAAAAGTATTTCTAAAATAAATAAAAAATAAAAAGCTGATGTCTTTTAAAGATACTTTAGTTTTAACTTTGTCAAGTATATGATTGTCTAACCACTATGCATACACCTGAAACTAATACAAAATAGTATTGAATGTAAATTGTAAATGAAAAAAAAATTAGTATATAAGCATGGATAGAAAAAAGAATTTTAAAGCTAAAGTTTTCCATAATTACTGATACCATAATCCAGATTATTTGTTTGAAATTATCCTGTGTATATTTTAAGTGTATTAAATGGTCTTTTCCCATGAATCCTAATAAGTGCAAATGAAAAATGCAACTTTCAAAAATTCCCCAAGTTACCATTCTCAATTATGAAGACTATAAATCACTAAAAAAACCCCAGGACAAACCAAACAGAAGGTCCTCAAGACAAGAAAGAAGTTACAAGAGAAATTCTGAAATTAATGACATAGAATTTCCCTTGGGAGGGATATATATTGGGGGACTGTCTCTAAATGAAGGGTTCCAGGTAAGTTTCACTCCAAACATTTCATTAGGGTAGGGGCAGAGAGCTCTTAGGAGAAGTTTATTTAACTAATGTAAACTTTCCTACATCTGATGTTGCAATCTGCAACTACTATTAAGAATAAATATAACTGTATCTGAGAGACCATTCATGACACAAGCCTGAATTCTATTTAAAGGCTACTTTTCCATTAGTAATTTATGCTGAGTTGCTATTTCTCAGAGAAGGAAATACAAACTATAGGTATTCTGCTATAGACACACTTCTAGTACTTATTGGTAAAATATGGTGTAGAATGAGTAGAAGATTAACAGCTACAGAAACTGGGGAACCTGGCATCACAACAGGTGATAACATGGAAAAATAAAAAAAAAGACTGGTCACCTGGGAATAAGGCTCTAAGAGCATCTCCCCTAGTTTTAAGACTGGGAGATTCAGGTTCCTGATTTCAAGATGACTCTACAGTTATGTAAACAAGAAATATCACCATTACTCAGTCCTCATCATTGATTTTCTCTGCATGCTCCAAATATTTTAAAAACTTGAATCTACTTATCAAAGATTACCATTTACCTAACACTGAAATGTATATCTGTTCCTATGGGAAAGCTATTATTACCACATCTATTTATATAAATAGTAGCTGTGACAATGTCATAATCCTATGAAGAATCTTTGTAAGGGGAAGTAAAACACACCTAGAAATCATCAATAGCTGTTTACCTAAAGAAAACAGATTAATTCTCAGATACCAAACTGTTTTCAGAAGGTCTAGGTGTCCTACCTACCTTGCTCTTCATGATCTTTGAAGTGCCACCAATACCCTTTGGAAGGATGATATCGACAGTATGACATAGCTTCATCAAAAGCTGACTGAATGCCATGCACCGCAGTAAGCTTGTAGAAAGAAAATGAATTCCCAATTTCTCATTAATAATGCTCAAAACATTTTAATACCCAACACTTTATACTGACTTACACAAGGAGCTGTGTTTGATTCTTGAAAGCAAGATCGCTCAAGTAAATGTTTTTAGTGTTTAAATAATGTGAAGACACTTACCACTCTAGAGTTTATAACTGATCCCAAGTCTGGTGCCTGGTAGATCACTCCAGCAATGATATAGTAATCAGCCAGTGGGATAACTAAAGCAGTAGAAGGGAAAAAATCATTTATGAATACAGCCATGTACACAAACTACTAAATAGATTTCCATAAAAAGAACAACTAAAAGTTGACATTTTCTCATATTAAAACTTAAGGCAGGGCCTGGCATGCAGGAGGCAGCTGATTGGTGATTTTCTCTCATCACTGATATTTCTCTCTCTCTCCCTCTCTTCCTCTCTGAAATCAATAAAAAATATACTTAAAAAGACTTCCTGTTTTCGTAAATAAAGTTTTATTATAAAACAGCCACACCCATTCATTTACATTATTATCTACAGCTGCTAGTTGAGTAGTTGTCACAGAAACCATGAGCCCCACACTCTAAAATATTTACTCTGTGGACCTTCGCAGAAAAACTTTTGTCAACTCTTGCCCTAGAGCAGTGAATCACCTGAGTATCCTGTTAAAATCAGATTCTTAATCAGTAGGCATAGTGCATTTCTAACAAGTTCCCAAGTGATCCAATGTTGCTGTCAGTCAACCACACTTTGGGGAATAAGATCTTACAGCAAGAGATTTACAGCCCTAGGGTGAAGATAACAAATGTGCTGAGCTTGCCTCTGTGCTCCCGTCCTGAGTCCTAAGGAATAAAATAGCTGCTAGTGAGGCTGGTGCCACCTTGTATAGCTTCTATACCTTGAACCCTCTCACCATGGAACTCTTATCCATGATCTTGCCTTTGTTCTAAGGTTCTCTTTTTTTTTTAAATCCTCACCCGAGGATGTTTTCATTGATTTTAGAGAGGGGAAGGGAGAGAGAAACATCAGTTGGTTGCCTCCTGTACACGTCCCAACCAGGATCAAACCCACAATCTAGTTATGTGCCCTGACTAGGAATCGAACCCACAACCTATCAGTGTACAGAATGATGTCCCAACCCACTTAGTCACATGGGCCAGGGCTAAGGTTCTTTTTCTCTGGACCAAAACTCTAGATTTTTAAACTAAATTTTAAGTTCTTGATTCTAGAACTTCTTTAACAAGTCATTCTCTGGAATCAATACCAAGGTTGTTACTAAATGTCTTGATGAGGGATTTTAAAATTAGGAGATGTAGCTGGTCACCTTTGGAAGTAAGTGACTAACGCTATGATTCAAAATCAAATCTGCATTCTATACTCTTCAGTGTGATTTCTAAGGCAAGTTTTTGTTTGGTTAGATAAACCAGGTAAGACTTGTGGTTGAATGTGTCAATGAGGGTTTTCAACTGACCTTTTAAGAATTTGGTACAACTGCACCTACCACGTATTTTGTAACAGAATTAGACTCAGTGGTCTGAGATGAAAAGAAAGTTACTTGGAATGCTCGAGGTTCAGTTGGAATCCCAACACTTGTGCTCACAGGAAGACAAGGTTTCAATATAGAGAGTTGCTCTATTAGTGCTTGCAGAGCTGCCCCTGGGCATGCTGGGAGACCCCTGGTGTCCAAGCATGTGACTAGTGGAACTCCATTTGAAATGGTTCCCAAGTGATAAAGCTATGTCTACCATACCAGCCTGCCTAGACAATTTGTACAAACAATATGATTATAGTGGAAACATGATTTCCTTCTAAGGCTCTGGAATTTTAGCAGGCATAAGAGGTCTACATGATTAGTCCTCATTAAAAATCTGGACTCAGAGTCTCAAATGGAGTTTCCTGAGCAGACATACACACATGGAGCTGCATTTCACTGCTGGAGGGTATACTTGGTGTGGCCCCTCACAGAGAGGAAAGTATAGAAAGCTTACACCTGGACAGATCCCTACAGATCCCACTTGATATGGCTTTTTTCCTTATTGATCTGGCTGGGTATTCTTACTGTGTTGCCCTAACAAAATTTACACATGACTAACGATATGCTGAGTCTGCTGAGTCCCCCTAGTAAAGCACTTGAACATATATATGTTGTCTTGGGGATGCCCAAAAAAGAACCCAAGAAAACAAACAAACCAAAAAAAACAAAACCAACTGGATAGCTCAGAAAGTAAATAAATCATGGTGCTTTAAGAAAAAAATAATGCCTGAAGTTTACACATTTTACCTTGGGTAGGGGACTGCCGCTGTTGCTTCCGGATGATAAAAAGAATGGGCTCTTGAGCATGTAAAAGGATGTATTCCACTCCAACCATCTGACTGAATGAAAATAGAACACAGACATCCAGAGATCTATGAATGCCCTATAAACAATTCTGTAGAACATTCAAATTATTATATAAAATTATAACAACACTGTAAGTAGAATTAAAACTTCTTGTGTTTGATATTAAAACCTGGCTGTTTAACAAAATTGGCTATTTTCCAAGGTAATCAAATACAGGTAAAGATTTGGTTTTTATTTATTTATTTATTTTTTAAAATATATTTTATTGATTTTTTTTTACAGAGAGAGGAAGGGAGAGAGATAGAGAGTTAGAAACATCGATGAGAGAGAAACATCGATCAGCTGCCTCCTGCACATCTCCTACTGGGGATGTGCCTGCAACCCAGGTACATGCCCTTGACCGGAATCGAACCCGGGACCCTTCAGTCCGCAGGCCGACGCTCTATCCACTGAGCCAAACCAGTTTCGGCAAGATTTGGTTTTTAAACAACAAAATTTATTTATAAAATTTCATGATGAACTTAAATTTTCATCATGAAAGTATACTGAAGAGCATGTTTCAAAAAAGACAACCAAGCCCAGCCGGTGTGACTCAGTGGTTGAGATCATGATTTGATTCCCGGTCAGGACACATGCCCAGGTTGCAAACTCAATCCCCAGTGTGGGGTGTGCAGGAGGCAGATGATCAATGGTTCTCTCTCATCACTGATGTTTCTATCTCTCTCTCCCTCTCCCTTCCTCTCTGAAATCAATAAAAAAAAATGTATTTTTTAAAATGTATTTAAAAAATGTATTTTTTAAAAAAGGCAACCAAAATACCATGATGCTTCTTGACCTGGGAGATTTATAAATATATGTAAAATATAAAAGTATACATGGTGAAGACTATTCATGTCTTGACTGTATATGTCAACTATCTATTCTACCCAACTAGAAAATATCAAAAACCTTATTCTTGCCCCATTGCATTTTTTATCTGGCAGATTATGTTTAAAACAATAAGTTGTCTTAATAGTTATAAATATTTGTTTCATAACAAAAGTTATTTAAAATACCACAGAAATTTAATTTCATGAATTCCCCCTAATGTTTGCTGACAGATTTTAAAAAAACACACTTTATTACACAGTTGTTTCAGAAACTTTTATAACAGTAATAAATTCTTAATGTCCTAAGTCTGAAGAATCTTGCTTTGTATAAGTTTGACTAAAATTTTTCGTCATACAAAGATAAATCTACTATAAACCTACTAAAGACACTAAATTACATGTAGAGTAGATAATTAGTATAGTTACTAGGTTGAAAATAACAATTGCATTGCTCATCAGATCTACATTTAAACCTCATAGCTATAGTTTAATTTGACAGTAATATATAAAGTTATTATAGTAAAGACTTCCTAAGCAACAAATGACTACTAAAAATTCCTTTGCCAATCAAAACTTATGAACCCAAACAAAACTCCAGTTCTTCCAAAACTTTTACTCTGTATTTCACGATCCACAGCTTGAAAGAACTGTTCACTGCAGAATCTCTAGTTGGCCAAGATGCTACTTTCTTACAATAACTTACTTTAAGTGTTCTAATGTTAGTCTCTGCATTTTGACCACTTCATTATTACACGTTCTGTCGTAAAAAGGATTACTTCTTTCTGAAAAGTAATCTAGGACACTTCCACTGTTCAAAATGGGGATCCATGTACTGTCAACCCAAGAGATTCCCAGTAGATTATCTATAAGAAAGAAACAAAATAATAAAAGATGAGAAAAGAGAAAAAAATCTAATCCTACAAGTATTATGTATCTCATGTTGTAGGCACTATAAATAAAAGGAAGACATGGATCCTAACTTACATACTCTCACAGTCTAACAGAAGAGACAAGTACACAAGAAAGCAATAACAACTCAAGTGCTATAATAAAAGTACGAATAAATGTGTTATGAGAGCACAGTGGAGGGAGCAGAATACCCTACCTGAGGAAACTGGAATGATTTTTTATGGGGTGAGGGTTTTAGCACTATCCTATCCTATATAATAAAAGGCTAATATGCAAATAAACTGAATGGTGGAACAACTGAACAACCAGTCGCTATGACCACCAGGTGGTGCGTGCTGACCACCAGGGGGCGCGCATGGAACATGGCGGGCATTGACAGCAGGCAGCAGAGAGCAGAACATGGTGGGTGTCGGCTGCAGCGGGATGGTGGAGCAGGTGAGCGGGGGCACCAGATCAAGGCAGGGCGCCAGTTGCTGTCATCGGGCAAGCCTCTGGTGGTTACTGAAAATTCTTTGCTCCCGCGCCGTGGTCCTGCCCGGTGCTCACACCTGCCTGGCTCTCACACCTACTGCCAGCACTGGCCCTGCTTGCACCTGCTGCCAGTGCTGGAGCTACCACTCGCACCCGCTACCGGCACCTAGCGCTGGTCCTGATTACTCAACACTGTCAGTGGGTGCGAGCAGCAGCTGCCGGCCCTGATCGCCCCTGAGGGCTTCTCCACCTCCCCTTGCTCCTAGGGGGCAATCGGGGCAGCAGCTGCCGCTTGCACCCACTGATGGCACCGGCCCCGCTTGCACCCGCTGCTGGCGCCAGCCCCAATTGCTCCGCGCCATCAGTGGGTGTGAGCAGGGCCGGCACCATCAGCATGTGGGAGCAGCGGCGGCAGGAGTGGGGCTGCCTGCAGACAGGGGACTGGGGGCCATCGCGGGAGGGGCTGAGTGGGGTCGCGGATAATGGGCCGAGACCCACCCCTGTGCCTACCGCAGCCTTGAGGCCCACAGTTCCTTTCAAGGGGCATGAATTTGTGCACTGGGCCCCTAGTATGTTAAAGAATAGAGGATTAAGCTGGAAAAAGGAGCAAAGCAATTCTAATCAGAGAGAATGCATATACAAAGGTGAGAAAATATAAAAATATATTATGTTTCAATTATAATTTGATAAGATAGAGAAGTATAGGACTTGAAATTTAAAGAGATCTTTCAAAAAACTGGAAATCCTAAGTTTTTATATGTTGGCAACTAATTGAAAAGTTTTCAAACAACATGCATGCCAAAGAAAACACATCCAGAGCCACCAGTTTGCAACCTCCCAATTAGGGACCAAGAAATAAATTAGAAAGTTATTATTATAGATGAGATGATGCAAAAGTTAAAGGGCAAATGAGAAGTACAATGCCCTTAATTACAAGTCATACAATTTCATATTTTAGAACAGAATTAAATTTGAAAATTTTCAAAATGCACAAAGAAAAAAAAAGACATGGTAAAATAGAGCTAGACACCTTTAATTAATGAGTTTTATTAGCTACTGGCTGCAATGATGTTTCACACCACTAACTATACTAAATCCCAATAGGTGTGAGTCAAGAACATCAAAATGCCTATAAATATTGATTGAAGAAGGAACTATTAAAACCTCAACCTCTCCTATACTGTAATTGCTTCTGACATCTTTGAAGAAGTTAGACCTAACCCAAGGTGACAAGCAGTTCCGAGCAAAACGAATCAAGTGAGAAAAAGTAAGTGTATAAAGGTAAAATGTGCTGTGTGCATTATAAAACCAAGGAAATAAGTAGATGAAGTATGTTAATGATCAAATAATCAGTAGAGACTATTAAGATGGTTCATCATAAATGGATCATGCCATAACCAAATATGTAACAAGCCAAAGAATAAAAAGACAGATTTCCTAATGAAAAACAACTAAGAATATTGGCCTGTGGACTGAAGGGTCCCAGGTTTGATTCCGGTCAAGGGCATTTGTAGAAGAAAATGTTAGGTTTCTTTATCACTTACATAGTGGAAACTACGTATATGTGGTGTCATAATAAGTACACATTGACAATAAATTGTTAAAATATTACAGATCATTTCCAGAAAGAAAATAATCTGTAGAAACAAATGAATGTTTAGTGACGATCCCACCTACCAACAATTATGGAGAGTCAATACATATGGGCATGAGGTGATGAGAACCTAGTGGAAGGCAATGGCAATGCATAGGAAGATAAGGAGCAATTCTCCAATTATCTCTCTGGCCTCATCTCTTCTCGCCTCCTTGCTCATTCTCTTTCAGCCATACCTGCCTCTATGCTGGTCCTCTAACACACCAGGCATGCTCCCACGTTAGAGCCTTTGCAAAGACTCTAACAAATCCAAATAAAAAGTAAGACAGTATGAAAGCTAAATATCTGAAAACAGTCTGAACTAAATGTTTCTTTTTTTATTTAGTAGCAAGGGTGCATGGCGACATGGCCCCCAAACAGCTCTCTAACAATCAGCAAGTGATAAAATTAGGCACTGAAAGTGCCTAACTTATATGAAAGACAAATACGTAAAAGTATTTTTCAGAAATGCTGAAGATCACTGGACATTTTGAATAACTATAAAATGAGAATATATTTGTAATAAGCATGCTAGACTCCATCCACTTAGGTTAATATAGAAAAAGGAATCTCAAACATTTCCCTTTAAAAATCAAGTATATACAGCCCTGGCCAGGTAGCTCAGTTGATTAGAGTGTTGTCCCCATACACTAAGGTTGCACATTAGACCACTGGTCAGGGCACATACAAGAAATCAACCAATGAATGCATAAATAAGTGGCACAACAAATCTCGATCTCTCTTCTCTCTCTCTCAAATCAATAAAAATCAAGTATATACAAAAACAACCTATATGGAAATGATTTGAAGCATCTTGCAGTTAAGCATCTTGAGTGGTTTCTGTTTTGGTTAATCCTCACCAGAGGATACTTTTTTCCATTGATTTTTAGAGATGAGTAGAAGGGGGGAGGGGGGAGAAATATCAATGAGAGAGAGAGAGAGAGAGAGAGAGAGAGAGAGAGAGAGAGAGATATCAATTTTGGCTGCTTCCCCCACCGCCCCCGACCAAGGCGGGGATGGGATCTGCTACCCGGGTATGTGCCCTTGACCGGAATGGAACCCGCGCCCCTTCCATGCACCGGCGGATACTCCAACCACTGAACCACACCGGCCAGGGTGATAGTTAAAACATTATTTGAGGAAAGCCTTTTTTCTTTCACCTGATGGGGGGCGGGGGGGGGGGAGGGTTGAATCTCAGCTTGCACCCAGGTACAAAAACTCACACTTCCTTTAAGAAAAAGTACCACAACGTTTCAAGTGGGAACACATCCACCTTGAGCGTTTCCTGCAAGCGCAGGAAGTGTTGCGGGAGACAGCACCACACGAAAAGGTAACCATCATGGCGGGCGCTCTGCGCTGAGTTTTTCCAGGATCCCTCCTCCGGCCTGGGGGAACCTGGCCTGTTGGGAACCAGGCTCCCACGCCTCAGCTGTTCTTCAATCGCCCTTCCGGCTGGTTCCCGCCCGGGAATACCAGAGCACAACTTCTAGGCTTTTTTTGTTTGGTTCGGTTCGGTTTTCAAATTCACTGAAACGGGGGTGTGTAGGTGGGCAGAGAAGAGGATGGATGTACAGCTTCATGCCTCCCGAGATCGAGCAGCGACGAGGGGAATGCGCCTCCATGTATCTATTCACTGGTCGACAAATATTTGAGTGCCTTGGCAGTTCAGCGGTAAAAAAGAAACGACCCTCCGTAACTGCTGGGTGTTTGACGGGAGGTACTGCAGACTCAAACATAAAACTTACAGAAGAAAATCTTCGGGGTTCAAGCTCAGGGGCGCAAGGGGCGCGATGTCAGAAAGAAAGCAGCCGCGACGCCAAGTCCCAGGGGTGGACCCAGTCCCGCCGGTCCGTCCCCCAGCTCCCACCCTGCCCACAGGCCATCCCTTCACCCCGCAGCCCCGACGTTCACCGCAGAAACATGCGTGTGAAACAGCACTGCGGTCTGAGGGCTCAAAGCCCAACCTTCCCAATCCCTTGGTTTCCACGCTTCTAAGAGACACCGCGAAGCGGGGAAAACCAGGCTGCTTTTCGCCAGAGTGAGGCTTTGAGTCGTCCACAGGAAGAGCTGGGAGACATCACAAAGGAGCCTGACCCCTGCCCCGCGAGCTAGAGAGCCCCAAACCAGACCCCAGACCAGCAAGAAACGAAGGCTGACAGCACGGGTTACCTCGGATATCCACCGCCGCCATCATTCCAAGTGTTCGCGGGTTCTCCTTCCGGCGCAGAGAAGACGTAACCACTATGACGACGGAAGCAGAGGGGTGCAGGTCCTCGGGACCCTGAGGAGAAATGCAGAGGGGAGGACAGTGCGGGAGCCACGAGATGGCAAGGAAGGGGGGAGGCCAGGAGCGCAGGGGAGCTGCGGGGACGGAGAAGAGAGGGAAGCGGCTGAGAGGTGCGGGGGGGGGGGGGGCAGGGAAGTGGAGGGGCGGGGCTTGGAGGTGGAGCAGGGCGGGAGGTGAGCGGCTGGGCAGGGAGTTGGGGCGGGGAGGGAAGGGGCGGGGCTGGGAGATGGAGCACACA